GGATTGATTCTATTACAACAAACAGTGTTCGCATTCAGTGGCATCCAATATCTGAACATGCGCACAACGGTCATTTACTTGGTTATACTATTCGCTATCATTCCTCTTGTTATAACCATGGAGGACGGGAGGACGTCAGTGCGTCAACAACAAGCTACACTCTTTCAGGCCTTCGTACGGGAGCCAGATATGATATTTGGATTGCTGGATTCACTTTGGCAGGAATTGGACAGGAATCCTACAGGGATATTTTTACATGTAAGAGCTCCAGTATAGCCGAGAGTCTACGGAAAATTACGTGAAAATTGAGGCAGCGTTCACACTTGGTGCCCGAGTACAAAAATTCAACTGACACTAATGTGAACAAATCCATTTTTCAGGCTGCCAATTTAAGCCAGAATTTGTGCAAGGTGTTTTTGGCCGAGTTCAAGGTCGAGACCTTGTACTCGAGCACTTAAGTGCGCCCGGGGTCCCTTTGTGTACGCATTTTCTTTTAGGTCTGAGGCAATGAACTGCTATGGAAATACCAGAAACTTCCGGCACGCTCACGTTCTAAAATGGCTCTTGATACTGAACGCAAGGTGGAACAAACATGCTACACATAGTCACATATCTGGTAGTCAAGGCGTGAACACAACACCATTCTATGCATTAGTGATTGGGCGCCAGACATGAAAAGTCCCTAAGTCATTGTTCTTACGGATGAGGAGAAATTATTTTATCTAGTTTGAGAGCTGCTGCTTAGTATTAATCCTTGCACAAATTCGAAGGCGAAAACAATTCAAAGGGAATTGACCCAAACTTTCTTTTGGTCAAGTCCGTTCTGTGTTGACTCACAGTGTGATAACCGTTGAAAAGTTGCTATAGATATTTTTGCAATCTTTCGAAGGAGCTCGAATTTATACATGCCACGCTTATTTTATTATTTTTGAGATAAACGTGTATCATAGGATACCGGTATTCACACGACTGGAAATTAGTTGAAACCGCGTTCTTCGAGAAGTCTGGATATCCGATCAAACAAGGCTTTGATGCGTCGATCGTTTTTCAAATTAAAAGTTCTTTGGAAAAAATTGAAAGCTTTGAAGTTAGGAAAATAGTCTTCTAACTATTATCCGTCTTTTAAAATTCACTTCCTTGTTGGGCTATTTTCTTTCTGTATCAAGTTATAACTACAGATATATTATAAAGTGGAAACACGGGCAACAATGTATAAGTCAGGGGCTTAGCTGCGAGTGCGCCAGTGCACCCGTGCACCTGAGCGCCCGTGCGTCCGTGCGCCCGCCTGTGCCCCCTTGCGTATATTAAAGATTTAATTAAAAAAAAGATAAATAGGGAGGACAAAAGAGACAGACGGAAAATAGAGTATCGAAATAATAATCGCAAATGCAAATCCGCATTAATTTCTGTCAGATATTTTTTATAGCAACATGCAGTGTTTTCCCGGATTTTGCCTCACGCGCAATAGTAAGAGACAAATATAAACATTACATGAAATGGTATCTGGTGACCGCATTCCTGTGCGGACGCGCTATGTTTGTTAAGGAGTTGTACTGTGATCGTTTTGTTAAGATTAGCTTTCATTGTATATTAGAAGGCATAATAACTTCCAATCTTTCTGTGCGCTGTGCAAGTTGACGATTATTAAAAGTCCATAGAATGAATACAAGTTTTGTGCAAAAAATAGTTTTCAAAGCAGCTATTAGTGGACGTTACAGTAAGCCATGTCTGCTGCTATTAAATCATAGTCCTTCGACAAGAGAGATGATTACCTCACAAAATGTATTTTCCTTTAAAGCGTGTGAAGCACAGACAACATTGACTGACAATAATGGGACCATACAAAGCCCAGGCTATCCTTGTGAATATGGTGGATTCCAATATTGTAACTGGGCAATCAGACCAAGTGGACCTGCATCATCAATCTTAATTGAGTTTCATCAAATGAGTTTCTCCGTTTACCATCATTACCAGTTCTTCTACTGCAGGTAGGCCAATTACATGTAGTGTCTTAGCGTCTTTGTTTGTTTGTTTTGTTTTTCGCGACTGAATTTTAAAAGAAAACATAATGCAGAGAAAATGCCATTTACAGTGCAGATTTCGCCTCAGACGCACTCTCTTCTCATAATGGTGCTGTAGAGAATTATAAAACCTCAAAGGCGAATCCAGAAAATTCAGAAAGGGGTGGCCGGGACACTTTTCCACTTGTTGGCTATATAGATACTTTTTATTTTTCTGAGAATTCTATAAAAAAAATAATCGTTCTTTCAAAGAAAAAGGAGTGGCTGCAGCCCCCTCGGCCTACTCCTAAATCCACCCTTGAACCTTCACCACAAAAAGTCACTAAATAATATGAGTAGTGGGACTTTTAGAAAGAGGTTCCAAATTTGGCAAAAAATCAGTTGATGTTTCCCTTATGGAAAGCGACCAGTAACGAGAGGTGACGATGGACGCACATAGAACTCGAGCTCAATGATTGTTAACCTTGGTCAATTGGCATAACTCCTGGGCCAATATCTTAAAACTTTTTCAAGTGTAATATTGTGCCCATTGTTTTAGTATCTAAAAACAATAGTTACACTTGTTAAGTACACTTCTATTAGTTTCACTAGACTGAACCCTGTATTGTTTCCCTACGTACTAATTTAAGCTCCATTTCTCTTGTCTGATTTAGGTTGGAAGACTATCTTGCATTCTCATCTGCAGTGAACAAAAACGCTAGTTTTTTGTGTGATGGAGATGTTAATTACGTTCTTGTATCAAGTAGTCAGGCTGATCTTACTTTTTCGGCGCTCCACGACAAACGCTCCTCTGGTTTTAAAGCCACGTATGAAATCCTGCAGAATAATTTTACAGGTATTAATTACAACAGCCTTTCTTAAAGTAGCCTGCATAACTGGCGCTTTATGAACCAAGCGAGGAGAACACGGCATTTCGCGGGAATCGTAAGACGAGCGCGAATCGCTAGGCGAGGGAAGGAATTCAAGACATTCGTAAAGCAATGGTTCCGACAGATTATTGGACGATTGGTAAACATTTTAGGATCGGGGTTTACTCAATGCATATTTCGCTGGGACAATGTAAATATTACTTAGGAATTCGAATTACAGACTAGACGTAATTGTCATAATAATATCTTTTGAGAATGAACAGGTACCAAATGTAGTCATATTTGATTAATTTTTCGTTCCATGTAAAGGAATCTAAGACAGTCTTGGATTCTGGATTCCAGGCACTGGATTCCGGACTTTTTGCCAGTGGGACCTGGATTCCAGATTTAAATCGTTACTGGAATTCCGGACTCTCTGATTCCAAAGACCAGGGTTCCTAAGCCAGCCGCGGCCAGCCACGGGAAAACTGGGGTTTGCCTCAGTCTCTCCAGTCCTGCCGACCAGACTCGACGGACTGAAAAGAGACTGCTCGGAGTCAAAATTTTTTTCGTACCCAGATTTCACAAGCAAACATTTTTCCGATTCTTATAATCATTGGACCAGTAGGGGAATTGTGACTTTGATGAGAGTCCGATAGAGACAATAGCCAAAATCTCTAGCGGGGTTCCTTTAGTAGAACTCGCATAGGCGTGTTTAATTACGTTTCTTTTCGTTTCTTATAAACATTAGCTGTAACTGCGCTCTCTTCATGGAATGTCTCTGTAAGATGGGTAAAAGAACACGACGCTGAAGTAGAATGGACAGAATTTCCAGGGCATGGAGAGTATATTGTTCAATTTGCTTTAATGGTAAAAGAGCTTAATAAAGATATATCCAGGCTTTACCTAGTCTATCAGCACGACAGGAATAGACACATCCAAGAGTTGATACCAAACCGTGTGTACGTGGCTCAAATTTTAGCTTTCAATGGCTCACTCACTGATGGTCCCTCCTACTCAAGTAAAACGATCATTATTACAACGCCGCCAGGCGGTAAGTTACAAGAAGGTGATGAAGAATCAAATGCAGTAAATAAGGCAACAATTTCTTTCTTTTTTTTTTTTACACTCTTTCCTGGTCACGTCGAAGAAGAACAATATACGCTCCTCTTCCGCACTAAAACAATCTCGCCTTGAGTATCATCTGTTCTTAGTTGTCTCAATATGCTTCTATTTTCGGGCTTTTAGCTGGTTAAAAAATAACATTTCTTCTCCTTTGGTAATGTACCCTTTTGTACTGGGTATTATTCGGCTCTTTCGTATAGGTTTGGGATATTCAAAATTAAATTCCTCGTGCTAATACTTCCTCGTGCTAATACCGACGCTTTATTAAAATGATTACATTCCTCTTCCAATTCAATTAAAAATACAAAATACTAATCAGATTTTGTTGTCTTTACTAATAATGTCATAGGACCAGCATTTTTGGTTCATTTCTTATTACTGTGTCTCCTTTAGCGCCTAGTGTGTCTCCGGTTTTCCATCTGCACAATCTGCAATCCGGCAATGCTATCCTTGTTGTATGGAGACCGATTCCGCCAGAACGTCAACACGGTGTGATTAATGGGTATAACTTGTACTATAGAGAACGACATAATCACGAAGAGAGAAAAATGAACATCAGCTCGTCTGAAACACGAGTGACTCTCTTCGATTTGCAACCATTGAAGGAGTACGAGATTGCAATTAAGGCCTTTACATCCATAGCAGGACCCCGTTCGGAATGGCAGACCATTGTAGTTGGTAAGTGGCATTACTGTCTGTTAAAGCACGGCGCACTCTGATTGGCCAATTTCCCATTTACTATTTGCCCATGGGTGAATGGTGGCCAAAGCTAGCGCGGGCACGTTCTTTTTTCTCCTTAAAAGTTAGTTATAATTTTCTCTATTTGCTTTAAAATCAGTTAAGTATAAATTTCTGGATTTTTATAGGTTGAAGCGTATTCTTTTTTGTTTTCTTTGGTTATAAGTAATGAAAAGTATATACATGGACGCTTCGCTTTTAGCCTTCGCTAAATCTATATAATTATTAATGGTTTAATATTGTATTTTGCTACTGTTAGGTTGTGGAGGGACATTTAATCAATCATACGGAATGATGAACCTAAGTAAATCGGACTGGGACTGGGAAACTCGCGAATGCTCTTGGACAATTTACAATCCTGGAATAGAAAATGCAGTCCTTCTAATGTCCATATGGAAAATAAAGTTCCACAACTGCGGATACAAGTAAGGCAAATTTCTTTCAAGTTTTATTTTTATGCCGTTATTTATCATCATCATCATCATCATCATCATCCTCGTTGTCGTCATTATCATCATCATTCCTTTTGTGTCAGTTCTTTGTCAGTTTGCCAAGTTTAACTTCGCTTTAAATCAGAAAAAAATACAATACAAGCGAATAAGAATAATAATAATAATAATAAAAAAGATAATAATAATAATAATAATAATAATAATAATTACAAACTAAGACGATTAACTCAAGATGTTTTTGACTGAGCTTTATATAATTAGTATACTTTTTTTTTTCAACATATACAAAAAAAACGTTTACCGACTATTTATACCGTATACTTGTTTTTGTTGTTGTTTTGTCTTGCTGCTGTCGATCTATCAGGAGTTAACGATAAGCTGACAAAAAATAGTTACAATAAAATTAAGGTAAATAAGAAACAATTGATTATATTAGAAAAACAGCAAATTTGCACGTGCATCACGCTTTTTTGTGCATTTCTTTGCCGTTGCTGCACGACTACAAGGTGAAAGCGCCTAATTTCACGTTTTGTCGAGGATGTGAACTACATGTGACAACGCTTTTATTTTTCTTTTCCTGAACTTCGACGGCAGTCTTTTAGAATTTAACTGCAGATAATTTGACAACATTTGACGAATTGAACGAGTTGGAATAAGCGTGATAAAGTTTGAAGTAGCTCGAATTCACTTTTTAAGTGACGTTTTCATAGCCGTCGCCGTCGCCATCGTTGCTGCTTGAACTCCGTAATAATAATCTAAAGATACGCCGTTTGTTTATAGCGACGAATATGCTACGATACTCAAGGGTGACCAGGAGGCTCAAACTCACCGGGGATGCGATCCTCTACGCCTGGATATGACAACAGTACCGTTCGGAGATTCAAACTTCCTTAAAGCAGAAGTTCGAATACAGAATCCGCAAAGTCGAGTGTGGACTTCTTTCGTAATTGTCAAAGGAGGCCTTGAATCAGGTGACTAAATTAGTGTTTTGGATACATTTCTGTTCTTTTCCACAAGTCTGGTAAACTTTGGATACCCTTGAAGAAAAAAAAAATCCTCCTGATACTTACCCTTAAGTTACTTGAGCTTTAAAATACGCCTATTTTTCAAAACCACAGGAGTTTGCAATTAGTAATACGTCTCCGTTATAAGATAATGGCATTTTTCACATGCTCCGCTCGCATGTTTAACGGTGTTTTTCCTCTTTCGTTGTAGCTCTTGATCCTCCAACGGAATCTTGGAGTTTAACAGCTGAAGCGAGTGGCAAAAGTCTCCTTGTAAACTGGAGCTCCTTCCCAAGTGATTTAAACGTCGTGTACTTCATAGTTTCTCTGAATCAAACACAAATTCATGAAAATAATGATCATCATTATGACCACGAAAACTACAATCCTATACGCATGCTCAGGTTTTTTAACGTTTCGGAGACGGAGGTCAACGTATCAGACATTCCTGCAGCCACAGAGTTCCAAGTTGTCGTTTATCTCGTGGCCTTAAATAATGATATCTACAAAAGTGAAAGACTCACCATTAAATCTGCTGAGGGTGGTAAGAAATTAAAGTTTTTTTATACATCTTCGTAAGATATTCGAAGCCAAGCGGTTGTCTGCAATATAGTTGTGGCTGCTGGAAATCGATAGAAATATCAAAATGTCGTACCCGTTCGATTTATCAATAGGCAATTTCACAATTCGTTTGGGCGCCATTATACCCGATACCACTGAGTTGTAGAATATTTTAGAAGGAGCTACTCACTATGTGAGCACAGTTACTAACGAGGGATAGGAAAACAAAGGGATAGAAAAAGGAGAAAAGTAAATGCAATACACCAAATAACAAATTAAACGCTTGGGGTGTTAGATACTATTCATATTTTGGCCATCGTAAGATATTCCAATTGTGCACTGAGTCAGCAACTAGTTGCGCAATACCATTATTGGTTTCGCTCAATTTAACACTACAATAGATTGTAGAATATTTTAGCACAAGCAACCCACAATTTGAGTGCATGCAATTAGTGACAAGACGTATTGATTTCGATCGAAGAGGATAGACGGGGAATTGTTTTTGCAGGAAATATCTATGGTTAAATGCAATTCCAAAATAGTTTTGTTTCCATGACATCTAATACCATACAACTGCAGAACATATGGAGGAGGAGGGGGAGGAAGAGGAGGAGGAGGAGCCACCTACAGGCAGAGTGAGCAACCTTTCTGACAGGACATAGGAGTTAGGAGTACAACCCAGAGTATATGCAAGATGTCAAAAAAGAAAGAACTAAACGGGCGACAATTGTACTAGGTTCTGAAGAGCTGCAAAGCTAATGAACTAAACGAAAAGTTCAACTTATCATAAGTATATCTGATAAAGTATGTTTGCAGACTGCCTTAAGATATTTCTTATAGTCTTAGTTTATTTGATCTTGCCAACTGTCGTAAGAGTACTTAACTGATAGATTGATAGATATTAGAAAGAGTTTTTCGCACACTCTTAAAGTTACAACAAAACTACTTGGATGAGTCTTGCCACTCTATTACCAGGATTGTGTTCTCGATCCGTAATTGCTCTGACCAGCTGTGCATGGTTTTGCATAAACAAGAACTGAAGGGCACCTTGTGATGGTGAAAGGACAAAGAAAAGTAAAAGCTACGCAGCTCACTGCTTGCCATTACTTCAGGGGTTGCTTGTTATAGTCTCTAGCTGTTTCATTACTTGTAACTCTTCCCTATTTGTTTATTTTCTTATCAAGTACCCAGTGAAGCACCTTATATCCACGACTGGAGACAAGACTTTGATGCACGCAGCATTTCATTCCGATTAGAATCCATTCAAGAGCGCAATCGTGGAGGAAAAATACTGGGATATAAGCTGAGATATCATCGATTTGGGAGATCAGGCGAGACATTATACCAGGACTTGGACGTGAACACTGAGCAAGTTACTTTGAATAATTTAATTCCCGGGAAGGTTTACGTTATTTCCATTTCAGGATACACAAGCGCCGGAGAGGGAAAAACCAGAACAGTCTCTGCTGCGTGTAAGTTTTGTAACCTCCTTCGCAAGGTCCTTTCCCTCTCGGTGTAGGGAGGCCGAGTGTTTGTAGTCTTATAAATAACTACGTAGGCAGCTGCTCGTCTCTCGTTTTCCATGTTTACTTCGTAGAGTAGACAAGAGAAGGGAGGAGAAACAAAAAAAAAATTAAAGCCCTGAGAAAGATGAAACACAAGAGGGTTTTGCTTGGCTCAATTGACAGCCACTGTTCGGGAAAAAGAGCCCGCACTAGTATCAAAGACCTGGCTCGGGAGAATGGCAGAAATGGAACCTAAGGTTTAACTTGCGTCATGAATGCTATATATACGTAGGTTCCTTATGTTACTGCTTGTGCTCATGTGTTTCTCTTATATATGCCTTACTTCGTCTTATGCATATCCTTGCAAAGTAACTTGAACCAATCCTTACGTTTTCGATAGCCACCATTATCCACCATGTAAAAATAACCTACATTGCATTATTTATGTTCACAACGTAAGCGCTGCTTCCAAAACATCCGTAACGTGTTTTCTTTACGGTTTAGGTCAAAATTAATATCAAGTTAATAATAATAATAATAATAATAATAATAACGATAATAATAGTTGCGTTCGTAGAACGCCATCATAAATTTGTTAGCGCCGTCCTGGGTACGAACGATAGGATACAATACACATGACTTCTTTCGACCAATACTGGATGATTGTTGATCAACGTGACTGGATCGGTATAATATATATATACAGGAAACTTTCAAAGTGTTTCTTGATCTGTTTTCCTTCTTATGCTCAATTCAAGGTTTTCCTGATGCTTGCGAAGTCGCGAAAATCAAGTTTTAATGAGAACATAGGTGAATTCTGCTCTATTATTATTATTGTTGCTTTTATTTTATGGCGCCTTAGATTACTTGGATATAGTTCGAATTCAGGCATATGCGATAAAGTGCGTTAAGAGAGCAAATTTTTGGTGTACACGGCGTACAAAAAATGTTCTTTCGACTTTCGACTATCGTTTAGTTACTTTAATAAATTAAGGTTCATGAATTGGAGAGTGGATCTTTCAACCTTGAGTCACATCTTAAGCCCTTTCGATGATTTGAGTAGATAATAAAAACCGCATGCAGCGTTCAAGTTAAATAACTATTGCTCGAGCCTTTGCCGATAACACCGCACTTTATTTATTTAAGTAATGATTTAGAAAGTTATTAAAAGAACTCTACAATAGAAGCCTGTAAAAATATATGGTCTGCCCCTCAGGCAAGTTAAGGCATCGGTCGAAAGGCTAAAAAGACCCCCCACAGCGACTGCAAGGATCATTTTTAATGACGTAGAAGGATCTAAGTAAAGGGTTCCACAAAGATATGATAAGACATATCTAACTAAAAAAGTTTTGGAAAATTCATCCCAAGCATCACGTGACATTCCTTGGACCATGACGTCACAAAACCTGTTTCTTTCAAACGGGGTAAGTTGTTAAAAAAATACTTGCAACATGGATTGAGTTATTTAAGTCTTTTATAAGTCACGTGACATGTTTTTTATTATTTTGTAATCCTTGCTCGACCTATGCATACACGCAGGGCTATTTCTTAATATCCAGGCTATGGGAAAAAACACTGGTGCCTAAAAATATTTGCTGCTCTTTCATTTCCTTTCCCCCGTTTTAATTTGAACACTTTGAACGTTGACGATCATTTGCAGGTCACGTGACTAATATTTCAACAATGAATTTGTCACACATTGTTAAGGCCACCGAGTTAAAACTATTTGCCAAGTTTCATGACGACTGATCAAAACAATCCGTCTCAAATGCCTCTTCGCCAAATTATGCAAATTATGAGGTGACCCATGCCTTAACATGCCTGAGCCGGAAATAACTCGCTTCGCATATCGAACACACTCTTTAATCTATGATTACCCCTAGTTAATAGTATAAAAGGGGAAGAGATGGTACCCACTTACACGCCATTTTCCACAGGTAAGATATTTTAGATTCGTTCCCAGACTGTAGACCCCAAGGGGATTAGACAACAGCTAAACAAATGGCACCAATATTACGCGTTCACGGCCTACGCTCATAGCTACGCTCCCCTTACGTTTTATCATGTATATTTACTTCCTTTTTTCCCTCAATTTGTTTTGTCTCTTCACCAAAAGAGACAAGAGAGATTGAGGATCAATCTAGATTAAATCGAAATTAACCTGGAATCAGATTTGGCTTTTAAAGTTTACACATAATCTGTCACGCACAAAAAAATAATTAATTTTTCTACTTGTGTCTTAGTATGTGGTGGTGTAATAAATGCACAGATGGGAAATATTTCAAGTCCTGGCTATCCTAATACTCCATACAGGCCTGAAGACCAACATGACGACAATATCCGCTGTCACTGGAGACTTCGACCTCCGACCGGGTCGTATATGATGGTGACATTAAAGAACTTCTTTCTTGGCCGCAGAGAATGGAATTATTGCAGGTCAGTGTTTATGTACATGTAAAGCCTTCTTCAATGTCCCTTGAAGAGAATGTACCGGAGTATAATACATGGTGAGCATATTAAGTAAGTTATTAAGAATAACTTTCATACGGCAACCCTTCAGACACGATGCAACAGTTTTGCAGGATTACCTTATTATTTTGTTGAAACTTGTTGTTCTATTTATTTATTTTTTAACCGATGGCTTAATACATGAATAAACAAATAATTTTACCGCCCTATTTTTCAGTGGGCAACTTAGAGTACACTTTCCTGATCGCGACTGGGACGAAAGCAAGAGTATGGAATTTTGTGGAAAAGAAACGAATTACTCCATTCTCATAAAGAACCGGGATGTTGATATACAAGCCTGGGGATTCCATTACCATCGACATGACGACGAGTTTAGGAAAAATAATGGTACCAAGTTTCTAGTCGAATTTAAGGCTTTCTCTGAAGAAGACTTGACAGGTAACGTTTAATCTACATTTTTAACAGTTGTTTTTCAAAATTTGCGTTCATTCTATAAAAATGTTTTATTTCTATTCTTAATAATTGAGTTCTTGTATCAATTATACTAAATTTAGCATATTTTATCAAGTTTATTACAACTGTTATTAGTAGATACACACTCAGTGATCTTGGTGATTCAAGCAATCCGATTGGTTCGTTTTTTCGGACTATGACGTAACATTTACCACGCTAGACGAGGTGTTTTGCCAAAGTTTCAGAGTAAGGACTTGTTGAACATATAAGAAAATGCCGAGTGTAGTTGTGTTTGAAGGTAGGAAAAGACATTATGGTGTTTTTTTCACTGTTTTGTGAACTCGGGATTTCCTCGAAAGACGAATTGAAATAGAAATCAATTTATGGGGAAAAAAAGGAAAGCAAAATTTTCGCAAATTTTATTGCCAGCAAGTTAACAAGGCAATGAACACCACAGATAAACAACCCTCACCTCGATCGTAGCCGCTGTTGACAGCATTTGCACGAAGCGACCAAAACGAAAAAAAAACTTACTCACGGTGAGTTGAAAGAAGCATAAAGCTCCGCGTCTCTTCTAAGTACTAATTCAAACTTTGGATATTTTCTTTTAAACCACTGATGCAAAAGCTTACAAAAAGATTAAGACTATGATTTGCCGTGTTTGAAAATAATGTAAAGTTCTAACGTTTGCGCATGTACTGTTTACGGCTAAGTTAACGCGTGAATTAACTCGGTATTTCAACTTAAATCGCTTTTTCAGGTTTCCTTTCTAATTCTCTCGGGATCACTTCCTGTGTATATAGTAATTTAAAAACAATCATTTTTTTTTCAATCTCGGCAAATAGTGCCCTTAGGAATATTTATCTCGATTTCAAAGGATAATTGTTAAATGTGTCCAGGTTTTTTAGTGACCAAAAATACGTGGATTTTTAAATAACGGGTTTTGTAGCTGAAAACGAACAAATTCAAAATGAAGAGATGGTGTATGGCTCCAATTTCAGTAATTAATATCGTAAATATCAATAATGTGTTAGCGGAACTATATTACCATTAAGGTGTCCTTCGCTTTATGGCTACTTTTCAGGAAAAAGAGATGAAATTTGGCTTCTGCGAATAAATTTAACAACATGACGCCACAATGGCGTAGAGAGACCGGTCTTATTGCTGGTTTTCAGTGTCACGCCATTCAAAATCGATCGAAATCAAAATAAAAACCGTTCAATAGTTTCATGCCAGAATCTGGGAAATCAAAGGAGGTAAATATACAAAGACCCTCGCCAAGATTCGGGTCAGAGGAATATTTCTTACAGAGATATCCGAAGAAATGTTTTACTTAAATTTAAAGGAATTTGTAAGAAGACGCCATGCTGGTGCCCACCTGGATGGACACCAACATGGCGGACGGAAACCAACAGAAACATCTGTTACCTAGTTTTGCTACAAAAACGTGAATTTATCCCTCGAGGAACTCAGAAACATCAAAGTAATACTTTTTCTGATACATTAGCAGTTTAAATAGCAAAATTCCCGGAAATAAGTCACTTTTTTAAACCTACATTACAGCTCTCTCGGCCGTCATGTAAAAGCCGCGTCACGCAAAAGCTTAGAAATTTAAGCGTACTTTAACATAAAACAAGAACGCTTTTGAAGTGAAAATTTGTGTGAACGATAGTTTTCAGCTGCTCTAATACATGATAAAAGTAAAATCTCAGTAGGATCGATAGTTTTGTAGTTTGAATTTTAGTGACGTCATGTGACAACCAACAATATGAAACACGTGCTAAATGAATTCAACAACTCGATTATTCTATTCTCCTCTTCCCATCAGGGTCAGTGTTAGGAGACTGGGAAGTAACAATAACAAATGTTACCAATTCGTCAGCACTCGTGTCGTGGCCCCCGCCCCCGAGTAGCTTTGCGGGTGGAGCCACTGTTGAGGGGTACCTTGTAATTGGCGATCAAGCTTCAAGGGAAATATACCATCCAACTTGGTTATCGGCATCTCAAAGTGCTCACCTCGTTGAAAACCTGCTTGCACGAACGAACTATACTGGTAAAATCGTGGTCATTCTAAGTAATGGAACGCGTGGCAGCACAGACTGGAAAAGTTTTCAAACTAAAGAAGGAAGTGAGTGGTTAATTTTACATTAAGAGTTTATTAAATTTTATGCAATTCAATTCACTTCGGTGATTCTTAACCAATGAACATTATTGAGAGGCTAAACAGTCAAGAGCAAAACCTAAACAGCTGTTAAAGAAGTGATGAAGTGAAAAACCATCGTTACTTAGTCCTGCACATGCTACGTGAGAACTTTAAGGCTCAACTATATATACTTTGTCATAATAGAGTGAAACGTAAACATCTGTTAAAGAATTGAGGTGAAATAATATCTTTTTCGGTCCTGCTTAGGTTGAAATTTTACTTCAAGAATTTTAAAAGAAGGCTCAGTGTTAGGTTGCTTAGGTTGAAATTTTACTTCAAGAATTTTAAAAGAAGGCTCAGTATATACTACTTCGTTATAAAAGAGTAAAATGCTCGCATTTGACTATTGGTACATCTAAGTAATGGGTATTTAAGAACGATGGAATGCAGTTTGAAGAAAAAAAAAAAAAAAAGTCTCTTTTATCCCAGGTCACTTTGTTTCAATATGGTGATTACCTATGAGGTCTCCGTTTATGACTTGCATTGTCAAACTTGGCGCCACTGTTTTCGGGGAGCCTTTGATTTTGGAATATTTAAAGTATGATTTATCTTCTTCTTCCCAGTTCCATCTAGGAACCCTCGCATTTACGAGCGCAAAGCCACCGACTTCAGCACTCTTTGGATCAGGTGGGAAAAGTTGGAGGAAAGTGCAAGAGGAGGAACTCTTTTAGGATATCGAGTCCACGTGGAAGAAAACTACCATGGTGGTTATAGACCCATAAACTTGTTTTTCAAAGTTGTGACTGTGGGCCCTGATGAGTTTGAGTATAACATAACAGGACTCCCACAGTGGACTGAGTTCCAGGTGTGGGTTACAGCCTACACAGCAGCTGGAGAAGGAATCCAGCAGAACAAAGAATGGATAAGAACAAGTAAGTCATTATTTTCGACTTGAATGCTTCTTAAACAAAAACAAATCAAATTGGTAAAGAACTCTAAAATATTTTGTCAGGTTATTTTTTATATTGTCCTCGATAGCGATACTGGTTGTTCCTGGCGATTTATGGTTCCGACGCGCTGCGCTCTTGGGCATACAACGCTGTAAAAACACTTTTTGTAATATCATTTGTTACAGTGGGAACCTCAAATGTTGGTTATAATTTGGATAATGTATTACGAAAAGCACAAAAGTGATTTATAATTAACTACTTTGATATGGACATCATTTTGTATGTTGCTCCAAAAGACTGATTGGTCAGTCAATTTACCAAGTAAATGGATTTATTTATGGTTGTTAATATGGGAAAGGTCATCAGGAAAAACTTCAGAATTTATTAGTCCCTTTGAAATTGGTTCACCCACCTGATAAACTCGTGAAAAACAACAACAACAAAAACAACAACAACAACAAACAAACGGAAACAAAAAATACATTCATTCTCAATTTGCTTTTTGTAATGGTCAAAACGGGAGCCGCAGTGTTTTATCATGGTTACAAATTTGAGCGCCCACCATGCGCAAAATTTTAGATTTTTTTAAGCCTGGTAGGCAATTATTACTTTTCGCTGTAAATATTATATGTTGATTCTTGTTTGACACTGTTTTCAAAACAAAAAAACAAAAAACAAAAAAACAAAAATGTTTGTAGAAAATATTGTATTCGCTCTTGATACCTTTTGTTATATTACAGAACTAGTTAGTAGACCATTTTGATGGTTTCTTTACTTTTCATCTTAGAATGCGGTTGGTGGTTGAATAGCACTACCGATTTTATTCGAAGTCCCGGGTATCCTAACGAAATGACCTATTCTGAGTGCGTCTGGTACATCCAGTCGAGAAACAAAAGTGTCCTGTTGTGGTTTGTTCATGCTGATATTGAGCACGATTGCGAGTAAGTTATTTTAAGACGGAATCCACCAGGAAATTGAGTAATTTTAATTCACTCAGTGGACAAAAATCGTGTACCCGAATAATTTAAAGAATATTACATTCTCTTTTACAGTTTTCAAGGGCTAAAGATGTAATAAATCATCTATAGTAACACCAAAGAAAATTTATAATGGAAGTCCGAGAAAATAAATGTCAAATCTCACAAGAATTGTGATTATGCCAGGTAAAAATCTAAAAATTTCATGTGTAAGAAGCAATTTTGTGAAATTTGACATTCATTTTCTAGGGCTTACATAAGAATATTTTTTTGGGTGTTACTACAGATGACTTATTACATCTTTAGCCCTTAAAAAATGTAAGAAAGAATGCAATGTGCTTTAAATTATTCTGGTACAAGATTTTTGTCCACTGAAAATCAAAATTACTCAATGTCCTGGTGGATTCTGTCTTAATAATTAAGACAAATGTGTGAGGTTCAGATTAATTAAACCCTATTTACATTCTATTCATTTAAGTGCTTTCCGATGTCGTCGTTTTATGCATGTCGCTATCCACCCTGCCAACAGAGCCTTTCTTTGGCTTGCTAAATTTTGGCGTCCATGAGCGAGTAAGATCTTTTTTGAGCATGCGCAGCATGTTGCTATGATATAGTTTCCAATCCAGGTCTAATAGCCGTGCGCTTGCTACAGTGGGCTCGGCTACGACCATAGGTAGTTATTAATAATAAGATGCTTGGAAGAAAAATAAAACAACGTAAATGAAAAAAAGAAAGAAAGAAAGAAAACGAGATTGATTAGTCTAGAAGTTTGGGCCTCGGCGACCTCAAAGGTTGGACATTATTCAAGCAGAGCTGCCTTTTCTCCTCCTTACTGAAGAAGAAAAAAGAGGCTTTGCTCGTAGGATGGTCGTTATGGAGTCGATTCAGTTATTACATCATTTTTCATAATTTATGCGTCGCAATTTTTGATGGCACGGTTTTCAAATTAATCAAATGGGTAGTTTGCAGGCTTTCAGGATGTAAATAGGATTACAACCGATATAAATAATGCTAGGTCACATTACATGCATGTGTCTGGGATTATCAATTACGGTGTCACTGGCTTCAGCGTTTAAAGAAATAAATCATAAAGAGTAATTCAACGTACGTATCCGGCAAAAGCAGCCACTCCTCCTCGCCTCTCGCCAATGGAGACGTTTCGCGAGGAGAAAGGAGCGGCTCAGTTCTTTCGCAGGCTAAATTCAAAGAGTCTTGATTTTTAATCCACAGGCGCCATTTTGTGGCTGTTGGAGATGATAGTGGTGTTGAACCAAAAAGATGGTGCGGCGTCACCTTTGAACATAAACCTGTCCTCGTGCAAGCGCACAGGGTGCCTTTACTCTATGAGAGTCACAATCATATCAGCGATCAGAAAAAAGGATTTGAATTGGTTTATACAGTGTTAAATGAATCTACATGGGAAGGTAGGTATATGCGTAACCTTTATTTACTAGATATCTTAGGGTGCAACTCCATGAAAATTGAAACGTGTATGGGGGAATAAAAGGACGGGAAGACAGGTTATCACTTCCAAAATGAGAGTTGTCTCCCCTTCAAAATACTTTTTGCAATATTTTCTATACCTGTCCAACATCTAAAAGGTAATCACATGACTTTCCAACGATGAAAAGAGCAAGAAAACGAATAGGAGAGTTATAAAGAATCTATTTCGAAATGTCCTGTTTACGATATGCCCAGAATACATTCAAGAAAATTGACGTTTAAAAAAGAGTTCTCATAGCCGAGGATATTCCCTACGAAATCGTGATAACGATTTCACACTGGTATTCCATAAAATACCCCTTGCAAAGGAACGCTTATCATTAGATGAAAAATGCTTTGCGTTTTTTAGTAACAGAAATAATCAGAAATGATATAATCACACGATCTGTATAGTTAATGGTTATTTATATATATATTTTTAGCTACCCTTGTGCCAAACTGGATCATATTTAACATCACGAAGATAGATCTTGACAAGGTAGTAGTTGAGTGGCATCATCATCCACCAGTGACGTATCCGCTCGAATTATTTGCATATGCAGTGGTTTGTACACCTACCGATGGAAAGCTAGGTCCAACCCTCACAACTGTTCGTGGGAATATAAACAGAACGGAAGTACATCGTCTGAGACCCGGAACTAATTTTTCCGTGGAAATTGTTGCCTTAATTTATAACAATCAAACGGAGGAGATCACTTTAGAAAGAAGTCAGAGCAAAGACTTGGAGACTGACGAAGGAGGTAAAACGATCTTAGTTCTTAGCGTACAGTGTACTTGCATAGGTAGGGTCACCCTAGCCTCCTAGTCGGGGCAAATTTTCCGTTTCTCTATGTAAACACTTCAGTTGTCGAGCCTAAATAATATATTTTATAAGAATATCAAGGCTTGAATTTGCAATATCTTAAGAATATGATAAGAATAAACCCAAGGCTGAAAAAAATATAATTTTGTGTGCTGAAAAATCGTGTAACTTAACCGTGAAATGATTTCTTTCTCTTATCGGCAAAACTAGACGCCAAAACGGAAAACAACGTGCCATTGCCATTAATTGCAATTTATACCACAATACATTCTAAAAAGGAAAAGTCAGGGGCTACAATTCAATTTAACAATAATACAAGAATATTTTCAGCCTAAAATCGCAAGAAAAATAATAATATTCAGCCTGGGCCAGAAAAACAAAATCATTTTAAAAAGAAAAGAGTGTGCCAAGTTCAGTTCTTTTTACTCGAGGTTGCGTAGCGCCGAGAGTCATAATCTGCAAGCCGTTTTTCTTCTTCGTATTTAAGACACAAAAGGGAGGTCGGTCTTCCGGGCGTTCCTAGCGGAGACCTCGGAAACTGGGAATAAGAATGGTGACGACTTTCATTGTATGCAAGTGAGACTCGTGGTGAGCATATGGTTTATTCTCGGCGATGATTGAGGTGATACGCGTAGTTGATCACGTTCCGTAATTTTGCGTAGCAATAATGTAATCTTTTCCCGAATCAAGACCCTTGATTTTTGTGTTTTCATACTCGCGTATTGAAAAGCAAATTCCCTGAAGAATACTCGACGGTCGATAAAGTAGGACGGGAAAATATTATACCGGAGGAAATCCTGTTTCGTGGTGTATTGAGGCATTGCTTTTCTCAGAATATTGACGCAATTACTGGAACTCTACAGTTAAATAGATTCGATATTGCAGATTCAGCTTGTTGTATGTATTTAACTGATAGATTTTCGTAGTTGTTAAGTTGTGAAGTCGCGTTGTACTTTATAAATACCTGACATATCAATTATTTAAGCTTCATCGCGCACTCTATTTGTAATACTAATCGGCCAATGGAAACTACTGGTCTACAAATTAAACCAGTCTATTTTTTTTTGGGAAATGTGTATTATGTTATTTTTCATACTGACGTCTTCATTGATGTTTCCTTGATGTCGTAGATTTGCAAGGTCTCGATCTTGGCCTCGTGGTATTGCCTGTTATTGTGGAAGATTGCTTGAAATTACACCATTATTGCATAGACATAATTGGAAATTTTCACTTTAGATTTATAGACTTTAACGATTGAACTATAATCTTTTTTCCAATTTAAGTTTAATCTGACTATTCTATGTGCCTGCACACTGGCTTATTGAGAATTTATCTCCTCCTCGTTTCTTATCTAATCTCCAATCAACCTCGAGTTAACACTTCAAGGGTGTCTTGTTCATTGTAGTTCCATCGGAACGTCCCAGTATAGAAAAGGCAAATACCTACCTCGACGATTCCACTTTCTTCTATATCACGTGGAGGCCAATTCCTCATGACAAGTGGAACGGTAATCCCCGTGGATACAAAGTATTTTATCGGGCTGGCGATACAGGAGCATTTCACTCAAAATCAGTCCCACCAGATGTCCTTGAGGCAAATATTACGATTGAGAGCGGCCCAGCACCTTACGAAATCAGGGTGGCAGCCTTTACCAGAGCTGGAGATGGACCGATGAGTGATCCCCGAGAACGGCGAGGTACCTTTGAGAGTAGCCTTGTTTCATTTAAATGAAATGCTTTTGATTATAATTCATAATGTTAAACGTAGGCTCTTTCTAGCGATGCTCACATGCAGGTTCTAGGTATTCAACTCTTCCTTTTTCCTATGAATCTGAAGAATCATTGATCATAGATTTCAAGTGCGCGCAATTTAGCTGTAGAAATATTTTACCGTGCTCTTTGAAAACTAGACTTTGTAGAATGGGTCAACAATGGGGTGTTGTGAAACAAGATTCTTGAGACCAAAATTAGTTAGACTCATAACATATGACTAAAAGACAGACAGACCGCGGATTCCCAATGTGGTTTTTTGTGGTTGCGTCGTATTATCAGCTTCCTTCAAATTATATTTTTTCATCTTAAAGGCATGTGTTTTAGAGATTTACCTGTAGGATAATTATAATCGGAGGTATTTTCTTTTAGCAGGGGCTGATTTTCTATTAGACTCCAGTTTGCCATCAGGGTCTTTTTAAAACCTTGTACCGCATTGATTACCGTTAAACTTGTTTCTATAGAATTTGTATCTCAAGGAGCCTTCATTAATATTCGAATAAAAAATAAGGAAAGAATGGGGAAATTTCAGCCAAAAGCTCGCGGCATATTGCGATTACTTAACTGATTGGTTTTTCAGCATACCAAGCTGACGTTATTGGAAGAATCGGTGTATTCACAAGTCCTGGATTCCCACAGACCATACCTGGAAATTTGGAGTGTTACTGGGGTTTCCATCCAGTCTATGTTCCTCAGCGCTTCCGGATGGTGGTGGCTTTTGAGGCGGTCTACCTTAGGGATTCCGAGGGAGCTCCAAACTGCACGTGAGTAGAACTCGTTTTTGAATAAACTGTTTTTTCAAAACAACTAGGAAGCTTATTAGCCTGCATTGCAGACGTTTTTAGGGCTTTGTCACGCGTTCCAGGCTTTCGCGAGAAAGGGAGGATTGTGTGACGAACCAAAAGTTCGTCTGCGCGGGAAGCTAAAAGCTTATAAAAAGATAGAAAGCTTAGCAGCAAGTCACACCCAGAGCACACGTTCTCGAGCCTCCCGTTTTATATATCTTTTTTCCTTTGATTCTATTTCAGAAATTTGCAAAATGATTGGATGGGCGTTGCTCGCATTAACCCTTTGAGGTTCATATCTGGCCCTTTCTGTGGAACCTACCGTCCCTTCGCTGTGCTTTCCTGGGAACACACAACCGATACTCCTTATATGGGCTTTTTCACAGGCGATGGACCAGCTAATCGAGGCTTCAATGCCACTTACTTTGTTGTCTTTGATGTTTCAAAAATGAGTAAGTACTGTAACTCTTGTGTATTTATTTATTTTTGTTTTATAGCCAATGCTTCCTTACCTATTTTCTTCTTCTATGTTGTAAATAGTGTATAAATGAAGCTCAATAGTTTCCAAATTAGGGCTGAATTACACCATATGAACGAAAAATAAGTAAACTGCAGAAATGCAAGGGGTCATTATTGCAATGGATAGCTCAAAAGCAATATAAGAACTCATCTGGAGGCACGATCAGGTTGCGAAAGTTCTTCTTTAGAAACGCTGCCAAAATTACGATCTGCAGTCCAATGAAACTTGGTACGATCATTCTCCAGAGGCAGTAATGGAAAATGACCAAGTGAAGTTACTGTGGCATTTCAAAATTCAAACAGACCATCAAACAGACCATAACAGGCCCGATGTAGTCGTACTACAAAAGGCAAGCAGAGTGTGCCAAATCATCGATGTGGCATGTCCTTTTGATATCCGAATTGCAGAAAAAGAACGAGAGAAGACTGACCACTACCAGGACTTAAAAGTAGAAATACAAAAGATGTGGGGGATAAACGATGTTGGGGGACTTGGGCCGGGCAGTTACCAAAAACTTGATGTTATGGGTTTCTAAGATAGGAACACCTGGGATCTTGAGCTTACTCTAGAAAGCCTGTTTGTTAGGAACAGCAAAGATCTTACGAAGGATCCTAGAAACCTAAGGCTATAGGAAATAGCTTGATGATACGAGACCAACGATACAACTAGTGGTGTACGATATGAACAACAACGATGATGATGATAATAATAATAATAATATTATCAATCCTACAGATCGATAATATTAGAGCCTGCCCGAATTAACCTTTTTAAAGAATTAGGAATTAGGAATACGAGATTTTATTCTTTTTAACTTGTTTTCTTTTTTAATATCAGAGACGGATAACTCTCGTTTGTAATGACTTAATTTAGAACTCTAGAACTGCCTGCAAGAGTCATTGACCGCATCTGAGCCGCAACGAATGTATTTTGCGAAATCGTCATTGACACAGTGATTGCTATTTTTATGATTTATGAAATTCTTAATGTTATATAGTGCTTAATACTTACTTCAAATATTTCTGTAAATTATGTAAATTATAAAATTATTATAACTATTCTCAAAGGAGACTATTTTATGGCTATGTTTGATGGACGAAGCGCTAAAATTTAGATAACAAAATATTGTAGCGGCAATCGTCTCATTTTTCTCACGTTAGGTCTATCAGTTGTCTCTGGGACTATCACAGATTACAATGTACAAGTAGCCTGGACCAATACTGATATACCAGAACACATTAAAGAGTACTTTATTTTCTACAAGCCAGTCAGAGAAGAGAATCAGCAAATCAAAAATGGCTGGAGTTTCACAAGGTCCTCCCAGCCCTTGGCCACACTGGCTCCTCTTCAGCCTGCTACCGAATATTCTGTTTTTGTGCTGGGTTACACGTCAAGCCGCAAAGTGTATGGAAGCAATGACGTTAATTTTATTACCACTGGAGGTATTGTAGACTAGTATTTTTTGCTATAAATGTCATAAAGACCTACTTCAATACTGTCAACAACGAGAGTAAGATTCATTCATTCATTCATTCATTCATTCATTCATTCATCCATCCTCCCTTCTATTCATTCATTCGTTCATTCATAAACAGCAAACCGTGGTATGACAATACATGCAGACAGTTAAAGAAACAATTACAACACCTTGCAAGGAAAATGAATCCTGCAACTCGTAGGTCTTTGCAACAGGAATATTTTGCCCTTAAAAAGAAATATAAAAAACAGGTCAAATTGATGCATAAGGAATACAAAAGTGATCTTATTGACGAGATAAATGCATTAAGCTCGGAACATAGTCAAGACGTTTGGAGGCAAATCAACAAACTCCGAAAATAAAGTACGGTAGAAGAAAACACCCTAATATCTCCGGAAGCATGGATACATCATTTTCGACAATTACCTTATGATAACAATGAAACAAATGAAAATACAAATTTTGCAAATGTCTCGGACGAAACAGAAAATTTGTCAGATGATGAAATCTTAGGAAAACCGATCACTCCAAAAGAAATCCACGAACATATATCGAAACTGAAGACAAAGAAAGCAAGCAGCATGGATTCTATTCTAAATGAAATGATCAAACATGGTCGATATTTTTTGCTTCCCTCATTAGAAAAAATCTTTAATGATATACTTAACAGCTGTAAATTCCCGACTGAATGAAATATTGGCGTGATAAAACCCATTTACAAAAGGAAAGGTGATAGAAGGTCCCCAGCAAATCAAATCACTTTGACAAGTTGCTTGGGCAAATTGTTCACATCAATTTTACAATCCAGGTTGAATAAGTATATCGAAATCCATAACATTCTCAACCCAGAACAATTCGGATTCAGACCAAACGCTAGAACAACAGATAATTTATTCATCTTGCAACAACTCCTTCATAAGTACAGCAAACAGCATGAAAAACTTTATGTTGGCTTTATTGACTATGAAAAGGCTTTTGATAGTGTATGGCAGTCTGGAATGATACATAAACTACAAAAGGAAGGAATAAAAGGAAAATTCCTGAAGGTCATCAAATCGATGTATTCATCAATTAGGAGCTGTGTGAAGGTTAATCAAAACACAATGACTGAGAGCTCCCTATGTAACAAAGTTATACGGCAAGGGGACGGCTTAAGCCCAGTGTTATTTTCTTTATTTATGACTGACTTCCCGGAGTATTTTAGAGTACATAACTGCCCTGGGGTAAAGTCAGGTAATCAATCACTAAATTGACTGATGTATGCTGATGATCTGTTAGTAATTAGTAATTCACCAGAGGGATTGTAACAATCGCTGAATGTAATTCATAAACACGCTCAAGAATGGAAGCTCAAAGTAAATACTAAAATTCTAATATCATCATATTTAGCGGAAATTGACAAAACAAAAACAAAACAGATTTCAAATACGCAAATGAAAGTATAGAAATTGTTAACAAGCAAACATACCTAGGAACAGAAATGACATCATCTGGTCGTTAGGCCTATGCAAGGGAAATTCTTAGTAAAAAGGCTACCAAAATTGTCTTCACAATTAAACGATTACTCTCCAACATTGATTCTTCAGCGGTCGAGATAAGGAATAAACTTTTCGATGCCCTTGTTAAACCTGTACTACTTTACGGTTGTGAAATATGGGGTCCAGAACTACTATCTAGTTATAAGACACATTTTGATAAAAGTATAATTGAGCAAGTTCACATTAAACTCTGTAAACAAACATTAAATGTCCCATGGTACACAAAAAAAAATCCTGTAGAGCGGAACTTGGCCGATACCCTCTATCTATAGATACGAAGGCCTCCCTTTTATGTTACTGGCAAAGATTAGAACAAAAATCAGACAACCCTCTCTTAAATGAAGCGTTTATTTATTTATCTATTTTTTTGATTGGTCATGCCGCGTGGGAAATTTGATTCAAGCAATCAGAACCACTACCCAGATCAGGGTAGTGACGCGTCATCAGTGTGGAATTCTCGACTGCAGGGTGTTTCTGAGTGGCTTAGCCTTGGGCAATGCTTGAAAACACACTTGTTGTTGTTTTAGGTCTTGGGTCATACATATAATGCGTAGTTAGCTAATTAAACTATTAACTCAGACTGAGAACGTATTCTTGGCTCGCTCTGGAGAAAAAGATAATTATTACGTTAGCTTTTAGATTTTACTACGTTTTATATGTTCTGCATTGTAGTCTTCTTAGATGCATACCCTCAAGGGTTAAACAAGCTCTCGCAAGGATAGCGAAAGTTTAGCGTGTTTTTAGGATAGCCACTATCTTGAACCTCTCATGCTATACTACGAAATAATTACCTGCGTCTGCAAATTGAGCGAGACCAACGTCAGACTAACAGGGGAAAAACTGAGCGCTTGAGAAATTAGATTTTAACTCTCCGCGCTTGGAAACCTATCTCTCTTAATACTTGTAGTGTGGTTGCTAATTAAGTAAGGCAGGTATTGAAATGTGTTAAAATTACTATCTATTTTTTTTGCAGTAATCGTGCCAACAACCACAATGATGCCAACGACACGTTAGTATATTGATATTATATTTTTCTCATTACACAAAAGCAGACTAGAAAGATGTTTTTAATCAGTAACAGGCGGCTCGGAAGAAAAAATCCGAGCCTCACTTGGGACCAAAATTTGTCTTAAATAACGCGATGGCGGCCTGACTTATGATTATCCGTATTATGAGTCTGCATACCACGGTAGGGAATATCTGTAAATTAAGGTCTTGTCGGGAAAGTAAAACAATCCGTGATGCATTGACCTGTTCTAGAGCGGAACATTTTATGTGTTACCTAAAGATGTGTGTTGTTTTAGCCTTGAAATCCAGGACAGTGAATTTGAATAGACCATTAACTGACTTTCGCTTTACATACTGCTTTCTTTTGCAAATCATCATTATAATAATAACAATAGTAATAATAATAATAATAATAATAATAATAATAATAATAATAATAATAATAATACTAACAATAGTAATAATAATTATTATAATAATAATAATAATTTTTTTAATTAAAATGATACAAAACTTGATTCATAGATTTAAAAAAATAAACTATTTACAGATTCAAGAATATGAAATATTAAAATATATACCCTATGTACATTCTTCTTGTGTACGAAAGAGAATTTTCGTAAAATGACTATCTAAAGACTACTAATAACAATTGTAAAAGGCATCAAAAAGTTAATAAAAAAAATAAAAACTATTTAAAAATAATAATTCAAACTGATAAAAAGTTACTACTTAAGAGTGTGTCCATGAGAAAACCAGGCAGAAGCAGGCAGGAGGTGATAATGCTCAAATCACCGATTTCGCTCAAACTTGGCACAAATGTTAGGTATCAGGAGTTAGCTTATGTGACAGAATTTCAGGTCAAAATATTAAATTCCCTGGGAGATCCGGGCTCCCCCTGTAAAAATCGCCATTTTGCCCGTTTATGCATAATTAATTAGCTAACTTTACGATGCCAGTGCAACAAACAGAAAAGCCACCTGGAACTTAAATGCACTGAGAGATAATCTGACATCATAAGACTTTAAGCACAATAAACTGTTTAAAGTCGCCGATTCATTCCCCCTCTTAGCCCCCCTTAAGTTGGGTCATCATTTCCAGGTTTTGAGTAAGACGTAAAATTAGGATACTTTATTCCCAAATATCTCTGATGAGCAACCGCTTATCTTTATAACTTTTGCATGAGTAGTTAAAGCTATCACTTAAGTTGACAAAAAGATCATAAAAAGTTTGGGCAATTCACTTTCTTCCATGTGTTGACATAAACTGTTCATGTGACTGAACGACTTTTGCATATTTCATCAAAATTCAGGCCCTCACAATATTCGTGTGTTTGCCTTTGAATGAGGAGAAATCGAACAAAAAAACTCATAGGACAATGATTTAACATTAATAAGGGTAAATTCATAAAAATTGTTGTGCAAGAAACGCTAACGATGATTTTTGATAGCTATATACGCGATCTTTTCATGTAAAAACAACATACAAAGATTTAATTCACAGTTCTACTTACTTTAACAATTTCGCCCTAAAAACAATATAAACGATCAATAAAATCCATATACGTATCTCTTAGATGTCTCAACTGCTAGTTTGTGCCCGCTTTGATTTGTTCTTCATGCCACCTTCGATGTCCAGTTCAGCGTAGTTCAGCGTCGTGACTCGCTGTACGACTAAAATTCCTTAGCCATCAGTTCACGCACCAAAATCCAAATCAAGTTGTTTTAGGACAAAACAATACGAAAGGTAAAAAGCCGATTCTTAACCCATTGAAAGAATTATTTCTGCCACTGTTGTAGCTCAATTCACTTGTTGCAAACGTCCGACATCTTTGACATTATATGGAGCCCGCATTTTTAAGCAGCGGTTGCCACCACACGGAAACACTGTATCGGGAGTCAGGAACCAGGAGCCAGGAGCCAGAGTTCAGTGAACAAAATGATTTTCCGACATTCTCTGAGATTATTTTATTGTTATTGTATGCTGATAAATAATTAAGAATTCCAAATCTTTTGGCAACTTTATTCAGACCATGATTATAAATGATCCCATGTCTTCTCAAACTCGGAGAGAGAAGTCGTTTTGACGGTCTTCGTGTTTTGCAAAGAACTATTTGTTCTATTTTAGTTGCACGTGAAATAGCAGCGAAGTGAAGTCGGATGTTGGTGCAGACCAGTTCAAAGAGACAAATAAAGCGTGAGACACGTCCAGATTGGCTTGCGACAAGAATTCCATTTTTTTTTTCATACTGGAGTCCCTTCTCCCCGGGGGAGTGTCCAAATTGAGTACAAATGCCCTACCCTGCTGGCACCAGATTTGACTGTCATAAACAGTGAATTTTTTTATCTCGCACGGTCTTTTGGGAGTCTTATAAAGCTTAACTGTGGCACTAATGTTCCCAAGTAGAATTCAAAATACACCACACTTTCACATTGAGTTAGATATTTTTCTCAAAGAACCGCTTCCATATGTTTAACACCCTTCCCACATTCCCTCCGAGAGATACGGTCTGACTACAAAAAGGGCTATTATGGACCATTATTATCATGGTAATTAATGTTATGTCAACATCGAATAAACCCAAAATTTCAAGTAACACGACTTTCACAACCTATTTTCAACACACCAGTTATAACAGGATATTGGGGCGTACAACAATGGATAGCGTATTCCGCATTCCGGAGTCCGGTAGTCCGGCGTCACAGATTCAATCTTTTTGGCAGAGTCTAAAGTCAAAGATGGAGGATGTTCGAGCAGGTGGTTGTTTTCTGTTGATATAGACGGATTGTCAGTGATCCTTCTTGTCCTTTGAGAATGATTTTGTTCTTTCTGACTACAACTTATTTCAAAGACTTCGAATGTTCGGTGAAAAGCCGACACTTTTAATTCTGCAATGTTTCAAGATGTTTCGATTTCATTACCTCGTCACGAAGTAACGCCACAAAGGACCAGACGAAACTGGAGCAGCAAATCTGGACTAAAGCACCTGAGAGACGTGTATGTAACATTTATTCACTATCTTTTATCCTTTTTGAGTCTTGTTTCACCTACAAGTTGGACCGATCCGAGTTTTGAACTAACTCTTTTGCTCCTTGTGTTTACTCAAGCGTTCCATAAAATATCCATCCAAACGTCCATAAATAACACAGAAAACATGCCTCAGGTGACACGTTCTAACAATTCCGCTATTAGTATCGATAATGACGCATCTGATTTGTGACTTCTCGTCAACTGTGTGCTATTTTTGTTTAAAAAAACGAATGTTAAGTTTCTTCCAATTTTGGTCAAATGACAAATAAGCGTCAAGTCAGATGTACATAATACGTCATTATTGATAAAGTATGAGATTGCCCAAATATTTTATGATTGATTTGATAACCTTAGAGATGTCTTTCAAAGAATATGTGAGAATTAAGTACATAGGTTGTTGCTCATGGGAGATGTTAGCCACTAAAATACCTTAAATTTAGGGTTTGTTAAAACAGTGAGAAGATGTCCTTACTTTAGGCTAAATAATAGGAAGAGATCGAATTAGAGAGTAAAAATAGATTACTGAGCGTTAAGTTTGATAAACATAGAAGATGATAAAGTTGATTAGATTTGAAATTGTCTTTTCTTCTTGTTGAACAGCCAAACCAAAGTCAGCTAATTAATTATGCAAAAATGAGTAGATTTTGTCGTTTTTAGGGGGGTCCCTGTAAATCCCAGGGAATTCAATATTGCGACCTTATTTTTTGTCGAGGTTAATATCTCACCACACCCATCAATTGTGCCAAGTTTGAGCGAAATCCGTGATTTGAGCATTATCACCTCCTGCCTGGTCCTCTCATGGACACACTCTTAAATTCTGGCTTGCGCACTTTCCGGTGTAATGTCAATGTCAGATATATTGGCTGCTCTTCTCTTGCTCCTGGTTCTGGTTAATAATAATAATAATAATAATAACAATAATAATAATAATAATAATAATAATAATTTTTTTTAAAAGTAATCAAATCTTTTATTGATAACAAAGCTAACTATAAAATCCTATTTACAATTAATTTCACTTAAAAAAAACTATTCCGTCCAAGCACTATTTACATTATTCCTTTCGATTGAAAGAAGAAACTTAATTTCGATTGAAAAATAATAATAATTATTATTATCATTAATTATTATCATTAATTTTAATATCATTAATTATCATTTATTATCATTAATTTTAATACAAAACTAATAATAATAATAATAATAATTAGTATTTACCAAATCAATGAATTGCAATTTTCCCTCGTTTTGAATGGCTCCCGTAACTCGGAATATCCTTGGCTATTCACTGTTTTGCAACCGGAGCCAAGATGGTGTCTCGTTTCGAGACATTTCCGGAAGACGAAATTTGTGCGATAAATGAAGCATTCGTACAAACAAATACCAAGAAAGCGACGAACTTTGGCTTCTCGGTGTTCACTGGTTAGGTAGAAAATTATTTTCATGCTGAACTTGCAACAAAATCGTAAAATGCACTTGACAAAATCCCCGAAATGCTTGTAAATTGTAAACAGAGTTCCTACCACGTGACGTTTTAATTTACAGAAAGTTACTTTTTTTTTCAGTTTTATCCAGCTGATTTGGTAAATACTAAAAAAACTATCCTCCTCAGTGTCGGTGAACAGCGCTAGATAGATACCTCGACGCTTCCCTTCGGGGAATAGTTGTATATAGTAATAGTACTGTAATAATAACCACATACATCTCTGTTTCAGCGCCTGTGAAACGGTTGTACCCTTACGAAGGAGACACACTTATCGACTTCAAACTCAAATGTGAAAAAATCAAAATACCAAGAGGAGGGATAAGAATCTATGGGAAACGTCACAGAAAATGCTTTGTATGTAATATTATGTATCATTTGTTTAACGATAGTCAAGTTTTTATTGATCAAGACATATCAGTGCCCGCGTACGGCTGTTATTTCATTGATTTTGTGATTTTACTGAGCGATAACACCTTGTAATTGGTGCTTTTACCCTTTGACAACCGCTTTGTTTATTTTCACCCCCACTGGTTAACCATTAAGCTTCCAGTTTAAGATACTTAGTTAGGAAACAGCAAAATCAGCAAGAACAAGCTTGTTCTCTTAACAAGAATAGATATTCTCAAGTGTTCCTCCTTCTGCAATCAGTTTTAAAAATCCCGATCCATTAATATTGCATTTTTTGTATCACGATGTCAGATATGTCCAAATGGCGTAATCCAGTTTGAGAGGAATAGAATAAATCAGCGCCCATACCCATTTGGTCAAAGATGGTGGTTGAGATTTAGTTCAATAATAGCACCATACTGGACACGAGTCGATCTTGGACGCTCATTCACCAATTCAATATCCAAAGTGTATTATCACATCTATACCGGACAAGGAGCCTATGAAACCTTAAGCAAGGCCACATCTGACGTGTTGAGTGTATACCAAAGCAAACTTCCAGAAGGAAAAACATTCCAAGCCTCTTGGGTTTGTGTTGTGACATGGGTGAATCTCCGCCCCGCGGATTTGAATGATTTTACGGAGACCCTGGTAAGATTTAAGCCTTGTTGGAGCCTGGGCACCTTTTCTGTTAGCCAATCCAATATATACGAAAATATGCGCCTTATCAGGACCCATTTGCATGGATATCCTGCCCTAGGCTTTTGGATAACCGTCCATTTGTCTACAGCCCCGTTTATAAGGACAAAAAATTGTCACGGGTACGGAAGAGTCACTCCGCCTATCCGTGCTGCTTTCGGCGTGCCAACTTTTCCTACATTCCATTAAAAAGCATTGCGAGCCGCCGCCGTTTAACTAGAAACATAAGGTTGCTCGGTTAGAACGGGGTCATTCTTTTTTAATGGTGGAGGGGTCACTCACCTAACCGGGCCCACTTTACTATATGAAAACTTTGGCTCGCCCAGCCGGGTCAACAGCTCGGTCAAGGCGAGACAATAAGAGCGTGCGTGAACGCTGCTGGCTCAGACGAAGGAGTCAACTTTTTTTCTCATATAAACGCTGGCTTAATTTGACTAGGCTGGGAGGGTGGCTGTCTTTCCAGGACAACTTGTCTTCATTTAAACGGTGCCTAAGTAACTTTCAGTTTTTCTACTTAAAAGCTTACAACGATTTTCGGAGGTTGTGCTTTTCACAAATTATATTACCAAGTTATTGCGATTATTGTTAAAAAAGGGAACCTGAATATTTCAGTAAAAACACTATACGTCCCCTACAATTTTCTTGTAAAAGTACACTAACCCCATGTCCTCGAGTCGTTAACAGTTTCGGATGGCGGAAACAAATGCAAAAAGTCGCCTTAAAACTTTCGAGACGGCCAAAGTTCTCCTATGGTATCCCAACGGATGAAAATACTTTAGAAAAGCTTCAAATTAACCAAATAGGTTTTTAGGGCATAGAGAAAACCATTTCAGACACTTCTGACGTATTTTTCACGTTTGGTCGTTAGATGCCCATGAAGCGTTAAGAGCACTAACCTAAGTGCAAAAGGACGCAACAACCTCCAACATTGCTGGCCAACAATGTTGGGAGTTGTTACGTCCATTTGCCCGTGGCTAAAAGTTTGACCGGTTTCAAACTTTGCGCAGCAACTCCCAACAACACACAAGAACAAAAGCAACAGAGTGAGTGTGCAAATGGGCGGAACATGTAACATCCAACAATGTTAGGAGTTTTTGGTTAACAATATGGCGTCCGTTTGCACTGTGCTTTACGCTCCTTTATGTTTGGCAATTATTAGATAATAGTTGTTAAGTAAGACAAAATGTAACTGGTGATTTCTGTTTGCTTTGTCTTCAGGGGAACACATTTCAAGCAGTTATCGTCACTGACAACATATTCTCTTTCGTTATATTTAACTATCCTCATAACGGCATTCAATATTCTGCTCCAACCAGCCGGTAAGTGCAAAGCACCCTGAATTATTATGCACATTCAATCACCCCCTCCATCGACTCTCACCAACACTCGCCCCTTGGAATTCGCCCTTCACGATTGCAGGAGAAAATACTCAGATAGCAAAAACTAGGTGTAAGCAGCTTGCACTTACAAGGAAATTTATTCTCGAAAAATGATAAGAAAAGTTATGGAATGGAATCAAGAAGTAATCTTTGGATAGATTCATAAAAAGCATTTGTACACGCTGTCAAATTTGTCGGTTTAAGTTTTTGTGTTAACAGTTTCCATAAAAACTGTAACACCATGCAGTCATGTCGTGTCAGATGTCCGTAAGAAAGAAAAGTGATAATTCTGAAGGCCGCATACAAAACTGCTGTATGATTCAGTTATCAAACAAGGAGAGTCTATTACGTCTAGTCGTTACTTGTCATTTTATCACCGGCCTGGTCCTTTTTCGCGAGATATCTGTGACCAGTGCTACCCTACCCTAGCCTAAATTTTGGCAATCTTTAACAGTGTAACCTAGGAGGAGTGGTTTCTTAAGCAAGCAACCGTTTGCTTTTCCATCGAGCATGCGCTCCACGTGATGCCTACGTGAAAACGTCAAACGACTTCACTTCCTCTTGTTTCGCAAGAGACATAAATGAATTTAAGGGCCTGTTTGCATCAAAGTGGGGGACCCTTGGTAGGTGAGGTAAGATGTGGCGGGTCACCCCACCTATTATGTAAACGTGATCAAATTAAAATTAAATTCGGATTTAGTCCATAGGAATTCAACTCCAGTTGGGTTCTCCTGCAATTGACAAAGAGCGAAAAAGAGCGGAAATTCCCATCAGGCTCGCTTTAAGGCAGCACTTGTAAGCGTAAGCAATAGCCTGCTAGCAGGCTCACTTATGCGGGCTACGTAACCAAATGTGCGAGAGCCTTAACTTGTTTTTAAACAGTTTTTAACCTGTTCAAAGTTAATTTATTCGCTCATGGCGCTGGACAGGGGCTCGATCGAAGAAGCAAACGGTCACTCGTAGTGGTTTATCGCCCTCTCTAGCGTAGCGTCCGGCCTGAAAAAATCCACTGCTCCCAGGGTATTAGCAGTGCTGAGTTAGTATGCAAATCTTAAAATGGAACATTCGATGTTTATACATGATGCACTACAATAATCTGCACTTCAAATAGCATTAATGTATTCTCTGAAGTAATGCCTGTTGGAACGGTTGAATAGAAGCAGCAAATAATTATAACAGCGACGAACTAGGGAACCTAGCTAGTTAGGTCGGTATCGTGATGTAAGAGTAATTGAGTAGGCTGAGTAGAAGAGGCCAGAATGTGTTTGTCCTTTAAAGAGCCAATTAGGGATTCCACTAGAACATATATAGACCATGTCCCGAAAAGAGTAGCCCGTCGGGGGACCTTCACTTATGAGTGTTTTCTGGCTTGAGATAACATATACATTTTTAACAGACAGAAATGCCTTTTTCCACCCTTTTTACAGGTCAAACTACAAATATTTTACCGACTATGAGTTCCTACCTGTCATTGGTTTCAACGCAGGAGACGACGACAACAATTTTCTTAATATCAAAAGGTATGCAATTTTCGGGCTGAAACTTCAACGTTTACTAGGGAGCGTAAGCAACTACGACGACGACCACAACGACGACTTCAAAAAGCCAAAGGGGGTTTAATGATTAAAACAACAGCTCTACACGTGCATCACGCTTTAAAGTACATTTCTTTGACTTCCACTGTACGACTACGACGTAAAACCTCTTAATTTGACGTTTTATGGGAGACGTGGACATACGACGACGAATTTTCCTTCCTCTTTTTGAACCTGAATATAATCCTTAAGAATTCAACTCCAGGAAAACTCGCCTGAATTTGACATATTGAGTGGGTCAAAATAGACGCAATTAAGTTTGAAAGCACGCAAATTCATTTTTTTACCGACGTTTTCACTGCCGTCGTCGTTCGCGTCGTCCTTGCTTAACAAATGAGTCGCCATCAAGGGTTAGGTACTGATTAGGACAAGGTCATAGTAGCGGACATGGGGAGGTATTTCTGCAGGGTTTATTGTAAAGAAAACTTATTACAAATGTAACGAAATTTATCTTAGGTGTGGAAGAATTTTCGATATTTTGTGGGCGCTTTTTGGATCTGAGATGATTATAGCTAACTAGGCGCTACGCATCTCTTTGCCTCTTTGCGGCCATCTCATATCCAACGCGTACTCGTGGAATAATTGTTAATTAATTCATGAGAATTTTGCGTGATTTTTATTACAAATAGTTCAAGGAGCTGAAATAGTTTGTCAATACACAAAGGCAGATGAAATATATATGTTCAAACCTTGGTCTCAATGAACTGACTGTTGGACTTTGTTGTCACGTAACAGGTCAGGTACTGTTGAAGCTGAAAGCATTGACAACCTTCCTGGAAACCAGGAAAACATCCCCGGACGATGGATCATGCGACTTGAGAATTCTGCTGGCGAAGAGGATAGCGATTTCAATTGCGTAGTCTGGCTTGAAAAGCACGAGCTAGACCTAGATTTTACCAACTCTACTAAACCGGACCCTTGTCCCTGTACGTTGGATCAGGCAAGAGTGGATAATAGGTATACATGGGTTGAGTCAATTTTTCCCTATACAAGGTGCTACTACACGGTCAGGCGCTCTAGTAATAACCACGGTAGAAAGTGTTGTTACTTCATAAACGCCAATAAATTGGGAGCCTTGATTATTGGACCGCGTCGTGGTGGTACAATTGACCGCTTCCATAAGCTAGTTCCAGAATTAAAGGATGACCACACAGAAAGTGACGTCTTGGGGTTTCAATATTGCTGCATTGGAGCAATCAAAAGGGGGAGACTGTGCAAGTTATATTACCAATTGCGGCCATCTGAGGGCTGTGAAGCTTATGTTCCCCCGGTTCAAGGTAGGATATTCTTGCCCTTTTGTGTTTTACTTATTTATTTTTGGCTTCTCAATTGTAAGCGATTTAACTTTTTGCCTCATTTTTGGCAACAAGAAAAGTCAAGAACATTAAAGAACAGACAATTATGGGATGACGAAGCTGAGTACGTGTAAAAGCTGAACCAGTCAGTTTGTTTTTCATTCAAAATAACTTAAACTTGGCTCGAAAAATCCTAACAGTTCCTGGGCATTTTAGGACGCGACTTTCTGTCGAATTTTGATGCCTTTCTGCGATCTGTTTCAGTCAATTGTTTAGCTATTGTCATTACCAGCGGTGTAAAAAAATCAATTGGTCTTCGAAAAAGTTTTCAAAACGTGCAACCTCGATTCAAAGTGTACGCGAACTCGCGATATGGCCAACCGCTTCCTGTCATTGGATATCCCATTTAATTTTCACGGCTCTTAGAATGTCTGCTGAAACTAATAAGGATGGCGTATAATGAAAGAGGGACAGTGTGTGTGTCATTTCTAAATCACCCAAGCGTTTCTCTCTTTCTTCTTATTCAAAAAAACGCATTTTTAGATGAAAGTGTTTACATTTAATTTTACCGTTCTTTGCGAATTCAGAAGTGGCCCATTGTTATCTCTAATTGTGGGTTAATGGGACCCTTTATGTTAGCTGACATGGAGAGAGCGGACGGGCGGTACTACTAATAATCACCTTACCCCATGCGCTCCAGAGCTTTGCTGAAAAAGGAAACAAACAAATAAATAAAAGCAACAAATTATTACAATTAAGCGCTCAACACACAGTACTCACTTGATTCAAAAGACATAAAAACTTGACTAGACCACGTCAGGTTCTTTGAAAAGTATCTTGAAATTTTTGTCGAGATTTTACTTATGATTACCAACTGCTGTCTTGTATCGCAGCTCCTACTTTTGGAGATCCTCATGTTGTGACACTAGACGGCAGAAACTACACTTTTCAACGGACTTGGTGAGTACACTATGATAGACATCAACGATGAGTTCTTCCAGCTGCAAGCTAGAACAAAACTTGCTAAGGAGGAGGGACAGCGACCATCTTTGCTGCTGCAGTGGCGAAGGAGGAAAGTACAAGCACAGTGCAGGTTGCTATGAAAAGAAGGAGGTCAGTGGACGATAAGAGTTTTTTTTTCTCTTTTTTTTACCTTAGATGGCATCCTATAAGCAGGTCAATGTTCTAACATGTGAAATTGTGTGCTTGGATTGTTTACAGGAGGATTGGAAGTGCTCATAGATGGTAAGCCATACAATGACTACGATAGTTTGACAAACTCCAGCATATTTGTCAATGGATCTCTAGCACTGTCACGTCAGAAAGCAACTCCTTCCTCGTGACGTTCCCCTCTGGGATATCTGTAACTGTCACTGAACTACAAGGCTCTCTTACTATAGTCTGCGCTGCACCCACATCCTTCAAAGGGAAACACCAAGGGCTCTTAGGGACTTGGAACGACACACCCTTGATGACTTCTTGAGACCTGATGGAACAACGCTACCATCCAACAACCACAGGCAAATCAGATACATTTCGATTTTGGCTTACATTGTAAGTCTCATCGCACCCCAGTGCCACGTCTATAGTATTTCATGTTGTATAGTTCTTAACAGTGTTCTATGACGGCTACAGTGTACCTTTGTTATGCAGTATTTAGTATAAATGTGCAGGCAAGAGGTTTATTAACAGCTGAAACAAGGGGTTCTTTAACATTTTGTCTCAGTGCTTGACACATAAATGAGAAAAATAGTTGTTAAACTGCGAAATCTTTCCTACAGTATACTTCATTTTTTTTTCCAATAATTTGATTTATGTTTTTTAAACAAGAAAAGGCACATTACAAAGTCCACAAAGGTACATGTGTTCTAATGTTCTATGTTCTTATGCTAGGCAAGTGATGGAGAATACAACCCTATTCACCTACAATCCTGGAGAAAACACTTACAAGCACTTACTAATGCGTCATTTGATTCTATCTTTTGGACAAGACCAATAAATTTGGTTGATTATTGTCTCTCTTGAATACTTGCACATTGAAATTGTGAAACGACAATACATTGTTACTATTCTCTTGCAAGGGATTATGACAGTTTCAAGGTTGCTTCGAAGTCTTGGATGTGACCTGTCTCAGCCGACAGAATAATAGATTGCTTGAAAGTGGTGTGGTGCTGAATTGGAAGAAGGGCATTTGATTGGGTGACTCGGATGATTTCGTCAGTCGATCAATCAAATGAATCAATCCGTCGATGATCAATCAGGAGGAACGGGCAACGTTTAAGCTGGTGGATTGATGGACACCACAAAATACGGACATTGTATAGATGAGGTCTCCAAGCGTTACAGCTGTACTAATGTTGTTAAGTTTCAAGCTCGTGAATGGATGCATATCAAAGGATTTGGTATTCAAGGGCATGGAAGCCATGAGAAACAGAATAGATTTCAAGGCCCACGCCAGGCTGAAACTGACTGGGAGAACTATGGCCGCTCGTTGCAAAAACGGTAAAGGCTACTGATCTTGCACTATGGACATGTTCTAAAGGCTGCGGTTGCGATCTGGCTACAGGTCATTATCGCGAGACGCACTTAGGAGGCCGAACGAACTATAACTGGTTAATGAATTAAGGTGAAAGTTACTAACCCAAATTTGGATTAAGTTTGAATTTGATTCCAAATTCAAGTCCTTACACTTATTCTCACGGTGTGTTTAAAAACTTCCAATGTAAGTGGGTCCATGCCCAACGTTTAAAAGAGTAGTAACTTGCTGGTGTAAGCTACTATGCCAGGTTTCCGTACTAGCCATGGTGAGCAGCTCGTCATGCCGACATTGACTTGTTGTGCCCGATTATTCAACTGTAAAACCATAACCGGTTGCCATCTTCGAGACAGTTTACTTGACCCGTACCTATGCTAAACAAAGGACTGCAGTGATAGCTTCAGTTGCAAATATTACAGATTCTAAATTACTTTCAATTCCAGCGAAATAGACACTTTGTCACAGGCGGCACGTTGCTCCAGAGATTTAAAAGCTCCACGGCTAACACCTCACCAGTGAGAACGACGCTTGTAGCCGATACAAATATAAACTTTTTCGTCTCTTGGTTTCAGTAACGGCCCGCGTGACGAAGATATAACAATACATACACATGTATGTTTGGTATAATAATTGCAGCACCATAATTGTTATTTCAAAAGAATATAAACTATATTTACATGCAACTGAGATGATCGTAGAGCAGTGATGGAACATGTATTACGCTTTGAAATTAGAGTTAGGATTCACTTTTTGCAGTTCTTTGTTGCTCCCTATTTTTCCAGACCAAATGAATGGTAGATTCGTCCAATGGTATCTCATCGGCCTGCTGGCAAACCTGGTTTCATCAATAAAACTGTGCCACACATCCTCATATTCATTATTTTAATTCACATGCTTAGATTAAGGGTTTCCGTCCTTCTTTAATGCTCAGTCTAATTTTTTGAAGAATTTCCTCAAGGATTTTAACAGGACCAACTGAGGTCGTCGTAACTGTCAACGAAACAGTTACTATTATTGTGACAGCAGAGGATCCAACGATTCCTGACTTCCACTTTGTCTAAACACTTCCCGTTTATACAACGACGGGCGATCGTCATCAACTTTGACTTGGAGGATCCGCACCCCTCTGAGGGAAGCCGTTTGTTATTGTAAATCACGGTTTGTTTTTCAGGCCTGTGTGGGGGCTTCTGAAAAATAAGATTTTTGATTTTTTATTCTTTCTTTAATCCCCGATTTTCAAAAATAGATCTCATTTGTTCGTATTTTATATTTTCATGGAGACTCTCTTTTGAACTCTGTTTCAAAAATTCATTTTGACAAAACCTTCTTTTACAGATCAGAAGTAGACTTTATTTGTCGGATGGAACCGCAACCACAGTCTTAAGTCCAGTCTATTTGTATTTTGCATGCCCAATGATGGAAGCTGCTTTCATGAAGAAGAAGATAGCCGAGGAAAACAATGCCAACAACACAGAAAGATTCAATATTTCTCATTATTGTGTGTAAGGATGGATTTACACCCGGATCCTTTTGTAATTCAGATCTTGACGCTTGTGAAGAAAATTCCCAACCATGTTGCAGGCGTCACCTGTACGATTTTCCGCCACCCAAACGAAACTGGATTCAGTGCGACCCGTGTCCCAAGTGGTTACTCAGGAGATGGGATTGATTGCACAGGTATATCATAATTATAGGTTATTGACCAGGCAAAACGGGAAAGGCCACCACCCAACCATCTTGTCTTGCGGCTGGACCACCAGGGAAATCCTGAACGGTGAAGATGGGCCCTTCACACTCTGGTGGCCAATCGAAAGTTAGTTTCCAAGGTGCTCACGGCCCTATACAGTCATATAATAAAGGCGTTTATTGCGACTTATGATTTCGCTTCAAATAATATCAGGGGATATAGTCATCCTTCAAACGATCATATATAACCTGAGCCGGTTAAAATAACTGCAAAGGAATATTAGCGTCCAGCTGAAACGCCCCCTTCGACTCCAAACATATCTGATGGTATGGTTTGTGTCGTTTGTTTCTTTAGGTTATCCAGTTGAGCCCCCGAGTTCATTAGCGGATACTCAAGAGTTGATATTCTAACTTTCCTTTGCCAAATGTACTTAGTATGTTTTCTATCTGCTTCGTTTCTTTTGGTTGCGTATTTAGATGCTCTGTGTAAACAAAGGTAGCTGTCAGCACACATTTTCACGTGCTACCCCCAGCTCAGCTGGTGTAAGTGATGATGAATAATATACTCGATGCTGAACAAAACATTCCTGCGGGAGTAAGAGCAACTTCAACGCCCGTTTGTCTCGTCTTTTTTTCCTCATTTCTTAATTTGAAAGTTCATCGCTTATGAATCTCAGCACCTTTTACCTATTACTTCTCTTTACCTAAAACTTGAATCGGATTCTCAATGCCACTTCGTTTGGAAGTATGAAGATAGTGACAACTGATTTACAGTACTACTCTGCGCCGGGTAGATGGTGTTCTCTGCAGTGACCAACAGCCATCAATGCAAGAAATACCGCAGGAGGATATAATTGCAAATGTGATGAAAATTTTAGGTGGATCTCACCTTTGATTCAAAGGAAAATGCATACGTGAGTATTCTTATTCAAGGGGCCAATTATCGCTTCTGTCTAATACCACTCGGCATAAAATTATTTCTTTAAAAGTACGTTCTTTTGATTGTTCTAACGTGATATTTGTCATTATTATTTTTCATCGGCTGAAAAGAAATGTATGTACGAGTCAACATAACGCCAACAAGAACATTTATCAAGCCGATGGACAGGACAAGTGTTCGTGCCACGCGGAAGTATGAACTAAACCAAGATGGCATGACATGCTCGAACATTATTTAACGCGGCCTTTATTCAGGCAGCTGATCATTTAAAACATGAGGTAGTTTGGGAAAAGGGTCCTTCCAGAACGAAAGTTGTTACTGAAGTAATTCAAAGGGTTTGGCATGACCTGTTGCTTAACTATCTAAGATTACCAATAAAGGGCTTTCCTCTCGATGCCAACCCATACTGGTGTCCTTGTCACCCAAGAACGTTAAATCAGGTCGTGGTTTCTAAAAAAAGATATTTAACAGTTACAGTGGACATCGCAGAATTCGTAAACGGCGACTATGATTGGTTGCTAGGGAGGGTCTTGGTGAAAATCTTCTAGCTTCCTCAAACCTTTTTCACTTAGACTTTCTTTGACCGCTGAAAACAAACTTTTTGCAAATTAACAGCACTACGTTTGCTTGAAAGCAAAACCCGTCAAATTCAACGACGATTGATTGATCGGTCGAAAACTGAGAAGCGTACTCGCTTCCACCGGCACTTTAAAGCTCTTCACATTGATAAATTTCTTACATGATTGGCTAGTTCGTTAGACACACAAACGTAAAGAAAGGAATGTAAGTTGGGTTTTCAGTAACCGTTGTAGAGAGGAGCGTTGAGTGACGTACTAAAACTCAATTGTAACAGACAACTAATCAAAGGGTAACCCTGCTCTATGATATGTCACATACAATGGTATGATTTCACATAATTATACTTTACAACTACTCCTTTTCCAGATATAAACGTTTGAGACTGGAAAGAGAATCTCTTATACCCTCAGACGTGCCTGGTAATCAGATGGAAGGTTACAATTGCTCCTGCAGACAGTTTAGAACTTGACATTGTGACAGTTACGCAACATTATCTTCATTATTATCTTCTTATCTTACATTTCGTGACTACTATTTATATATATATATATATATATATATATATATAAATAGTAGAAATAATGAAAATGATGAAGATAATGATGAAGATAACGTTTATGATGATGATGGGTCCATCAAGTGAAATTACCCATGCAAAGCTTTAATTATTTTTGACGAACAAATAATTTTAAATAAAAAAAAGATTATTCTTAATAAAATAAGACTAAGAAAATTAGTGAAAGCGGTGCATGCAAACTGATAATCATTTCCATTTTAAATTGACTCATTAGATTGTCCACAATTAGTTTTTGATTTCGGTATGATCTTGGAGAATTTAACTTTGTTAAACTGTTTTGGTCTACCTCTGTTCTCTTTATAAGATATCGATGAATGCAGGGAATTCACTTTCCAATGTCAAGATGCTTCCCAGACTTGTAGTAATCTCCACGGATCTTACAAGTGCGTCTGTGGAGAAGATTTGTACTGGATTGACAACAAATGCCAAGGTTTGTTTGCAAATGAATTTAGTTGTTATTTGACTCAAGGCATGATCTGACTTTGTTCTGATTTATCAATAATTTGGACTCATCTTTAAAGGATTGTTCAGTCAAAGTTGTTTTGCCACTATCATTGGTGATTTTCTACAGCTTACCATGTTCCTACATACATACATACTTACATACAATATATATTTTTTTTTTTCCAAAGGACTTGGTAAAGGGAAGCTCCTCCACCACCTCCACCCGCATCAACACCGAGAACACCTTCTGCAGAAGAAACTGCCGAATCAGTCAGCGTAAATGTCGGATTAAACATTTCTGAGGTGAGCCATTTTTTTTGGCATACAATTAGTTCGGATTTTTTAAAACCTACCTTGCGAAAATTGCCGTCATTTGACTAAAAACAAAACCCAAGTTCCTGCCCCCCGATAAGCGAAAGCGAGGAAAAAGGAGCACCCCTTCCTCAATTTGCAAGACGCTCCAGATCAAACCAAAGGGGCAAATTCAATAGTTACTTAAAGGCGCCAATATTGAGCCACGAGTTAGACGCAAGGATATTGCTGTTTTGGGTTAATTCTGTGCTAAAGTCATTCCCTTTAGCCTATACACGAAATGTTTCTGTATAGTTATGAAGAAGATATCAATAGTCAACAATAACCATGATAACCTTTTTGGTGATTTTTGCAGGCATAACATTATAACTTGAAAAAAGTTGAGAGTTTTTAATACATTTTTTATCCTTGCCCTCGGTTGCAACAAACGACAGGAAACAGTTTAAATGCCTAAATATAATCTTAAATAACAAAATTAACCATTATTTTTGGAATTAAATTGAAACAAAGACCATTGCAAGTTTTAGCTTTTTAAAAGAGTCGTCAACTAGCGTGACATTTTAATTTCTAGATCTCTCATCTAATTTTTCTTATTGCAGTGGAATGAACCAAAAGAGGACGCGTTCAAGCAGTCCGTTGCACAAGCAGCTACAGATCATTGCTTGACAGGTAGCAACTGTCAATCAACGGAAACCAGGTATTGACTACTTGTCGATTTATTGCTTTACTGATTGATTGCTTGAAGAATGGATGGATGTTTAATTCTCCATTGACTCATTTCTTGACAGTTTAACTAAATTTGTGATCGTTTCAATATTTTGATCCAGAGATTAATAAAGTAGCTGTGAAGTAAGGAATCGGCACAAAACAACAACAACAACAACAACAACAACAATATATCATAATAATAATGATGATGATGATGATGATGATGCTTATACATTGTAGTTATGATAAATATAATATGATAATAAATAACAAAAAGACAATAAATCCACTGCCATTTTAAGCTCTCGACGCAAACGCAGATCAGCGGGAAACCTGGTCTTCACAGAGAACCAAGTACACGTGTTGCCTGGTTACCCAAAACAGATTTCAGTGAGTCCACTCCTGGCGAACATTTCATTTTACATACAGTCTCCAGCTGGATCGTCGTTTACCGTCATGCCGAAAGCTGTCGTGGTTGCCATTGTTCAGAGTTCTCTGGCAAGCATTTCAAGCGCCCTCAATGCCAACATTTCAAGTGTACAAACGCTTTTTGCAGACACAACGACAGCGACATCTTCAACTCCGCCGATTACAACCGCCACTACACGGGTGTTACCGACGGAGAAAGAAAGCAATATGAAATATATCATTGCTGGTTGTGTTGCTAGTGGGGTGGTGATTATCGTCATTGTCGTAATCCTTGTGTGGTGGTGCAATAAGAAAAAAAGGTACCTGTGACACCTTAATTCTAATAAAATCTACGGAGTTTATGGGATTAATAAAATTCCCACGAAATGACGTCTGAGAAACAAGCGCAGAAATTCCATACTGATGACACGTCACAACCCAGATCTGGGTAGACCCTCTGATTAATCGTAAATTTGCTTCCCCCAATCAGAACCATTACCTCGATCTGGGTAGTGTCACCGCATCAGTATGGAATTTCTGCATTCGTTTCCTGAACAGCGGCTGATAATCGAACCTAGACGGGGTGGCAGGGATCAACAAGTAATACTTTCGTATGGCAACTTTATGGCCTAATAATTGGGTCTAAAGTAAAGTATTAACCTGTCTTGCAATCTGTTTTTACTATAAGAAAGATCTTCTCTGATCGCCTTTTTCTCCGTCTAAAAGGGAAAAACCTCGAAAAATTGACAGTGAATTGTCAATCGTCAGGAAGGTAAAGACTGCAGAAAACATGGAAATGAATGATACTCATTCACCCAGCAACGAAGCCTTCGAAAATGATACTTATATGTAAGTTAATCAAAAATTACTTAACGCTTTAGAGCCTTAAATAGGAAATAAAAGTTACCTTTCGTCATATTTAATTAGCGCCCCTCGTTCCAAAAGTGATAATTAATGGTAATCGAACTTCGTGTCCTGCAATTTGATCTGAAATCATACGTATCATTAGAACACGAATGACGCGATTTAGAACAGATGTGATTTAAAGCGAAAAAATAGTGTGATTTTTGAATAAATCACACTGCTGAGAGCCAATCAGATTGCAGGAATCCCCAGTGATTTTAAAATGAATATAATAAAGTTTGGAATTAAAAAAACAGTAAGCACTGCTTTCATCACCAGGATGAGACCAGATGGAAAGCCAATATTTGGGGCAATGTCAGGATAACAATGCTAGGAAATTTCTAAAGTCAAATTAAACGAGAAATATTTACAATACTGTAATAATCTAATGTCCCTAATCTATGGCAACTTTGATGTCATGGTAACGCTGATCATAACAAATTTTCGTCAGTCTTTATCTAAGAATCTTAGCTGTGGAGGTCATTTTTCAAAATCTTTGTTTTAACAGAGTCGTTGATAATAGTCAAGGGTGAGAGGTATTGCCCTTGAAAACCGTATCGAGCCACCTTAATAAGATGATAAACAGAAAAATATATGTAATTATTATCTATAGAGAGAGAAATAAGAAAAAAACAAAGAAAGAAAAAAAGAAAACGAAGGAATGAGGGGGAGGGGAATAGTCAACTACCTTGATGATGTATCAGTCTTCAATCACTTTTATTACAATAAAATGATATCTTTAATTTTTTATTTGTGGCTAGAGTTGGAAGAAATAACCCAATGCCAGACGTTGAACAACAGGCTCCCAATGATTTAAAGAGCCCCGCCTAAATTGTTAGTACTTATTCCTAGTATGTTATTCTATCCACAATTAAATCCTTCGTAGACTTGCAGGCAGACACCTACTCTATATCATTCATTTTCCATCTTAAAATGTGCGGGACTTAATACAATAAATTTAATTACCTATATTTGCAGGCAGTCTGTGAAGAAACGTGTGGAGAACCAGGAATCAGAATTACCAGGTTCCGCAGGAAAAACGATGTGACCCAAAATGGACGCGATGTGGACATGTCTGGGCTTTTGAAGAAATGAGGACTGTTTTCGTACCCCTTAAAGCGTACTAAGCAAGAAACTTACTTCAGGAAGCACTGAGATGTACATTTTTGCTGTTGTTATATCCGGATGACCCCTCCAGGATATATGGATATATATATATATATATATGGATATATATATATATATATATATATATATATATATATATATATATATATATATATATATATATATATATATATATATATATATATATATATATATATATATATATATATATATATATATATATATATATATATATATATATATATATATATATATATGTACAAGAAGAAGAGCTATATATATATATATATATATATATATATATATATATGTACAAGAAGAAGAGCTATATCTATATATATATATATATATATATAGATATAGATATAGCTCTTTGGATATAGCTCTTTGGCATTACAAAGCTTTTGCTTTCATGTCCAAATTGAGCACTCTACTAGGATGAGTCATTGCCGCTAGCAATTGCGCACGCTCGCTAGCTCGCTAGTTTGAGCACTCTGGCATGGCTTAGATGTACCACATGTGTGGGACATTTGGGGTGGCTTTTTAAGCTTAACCCCCATCCTAGACATCAGCACTGCACTGATGAGGCCCAGAAGGCCGAAACAGTACTGTCTGCAGTTAGTTATATATACTAGGGTATCTAAAAGATAGTAATGCTGCGGCACATTCTGTTGATACTGGCATTGGTTAGGTAGTGGGACTTGAAAGAATCGAAAATGACATTGAATGTCCTATTTACATGTTGGAAAGTACTAGAATAATTACTATCAGTCTATAGAAAGAACTCGTGGGAACGTTGTTTAGAAAATGATCAAGTGGTTATCAACTCTGGTTTTCCCACAGTAAATTGTAGGAAATGATAGAAATTCAGATTGTTTATCCATATATTTAATATATGGTGTACTATCGTTTCTCTGGAAACACGATACTTTTCTTGCTTTTATTGCACTTTATTAAGTAACAGTTATTTACCTATACATTTATGGAAAACAACAACACAAAAAACGGAAAAAAAAGAAAGAAAGAAGGAAAAAAAAAGTTCGGCAGAATACGAACCCAGCACCTTCGGCTCGACGCGACTACACCTAACCACTACACCACAGAGACTGATTAAGTGATCTTGGGAAAAGTCTTTAATTTAATGCTTTTTGCATGAAACTTCCGCCGGCAAGATGATCGCCAGCCGCATTAATCGAACTATTAACAGTAAAAAACAATGTAAACGCATATTCCATGGCAATGAATGAATGAAAGAATATAATTATGCTTTTCAAAACGCCGATACACGTCCTCGTCTGCAACGTGGGACACAAAACATGTTTTGTTATCTTGATTTCCGCTGTTATTTTGAAGCGAATGGTCAAAATCACATCCATTTTCGGCTCATACAGGTTCTTAAGAATAGCATGGCATGACATTTTCTCACTTTCACATCTAGCAAGCAGGAATTTGTATATCCCCCGTGTTGCGGAGTCTAAGAGCAAATACTCATCTTCTCGTCAGGTTTAACACCTGGACGAGTCAAAGGCTCTTGAATTGAAATCCAATCCCCAAGTTAACCATTGTACTCATCTGAAAGACTTCTGCGTGTCTTAAATTTGGTAAGACCTCTAACCGCGCTGTAGAAAATTTGCTACAAAGAAAAGTCTGGGCAGCGAACGATACGAACTTCCCCGTGTTTTTATTTGAGCTGTTCGTGGCGCAATGCACTCTGGTTAAATGCAATGCATTGTGGTAAAAAGTGTGGTTAAATGCAATGCATTGTGGTAAAAAGTGATGAATTGGAGAATTCTTCGCCCCTTATATCTAGCCGGATTTATGAAAACCGTAACATCGGACACCAGGAGCCCACACACCTTACTAAAGTAAATATCACCAAGAAACTCAGCTCTTACCCATGGTTCTCTTAAGGTGACTCTCTTCTTGGTTCCTGATTAGCAAAAGAAACATTCAAGTCCATCAAAAAGACACTCTGGACTTGTCCATACACTCTAGCTACTTAAAGGCCCTGAATGACGGAGGACGCTTGAGACTTCAGCAAGTTCTAAGCAGAGAATTCAAGGTTAAGTCACCCCCTGACTTCCTCCCCCCCAGCCTAGCACGTGCTTGAGGGGAATGCTTTCATTGGCCAATGGGCCTCAAACGTCACAAGAATTTCACATGACAAACTAAAGGCAGACGTGACCAGTGCACTGACTCTCCCAGACCAGGACTAACGGAAGGTACAACGCTTTTGCAGCAGCCTCCCCCCTAGGGATTGACGTGGAGGCCCCTTTCCAACCCATGGCGAGTTAGCTCAGGGACTGAACTTGACAATGAGACCAAGCAGGACAGCAAGCCCCCTATGTTTTCTCTCAGCGCAGTGACCAGAAAGCTGGCTATGGCCAGCTTTCTGTGCGAATATTCTGGTGCATTTTCAGGTAGGTTTTCAAAAATTCGGCTAGATGTTGACGACAAATGCTGTCTTTTCAAGAAGGAGGTCACCTCGGGCCAAATCTGCCTCCTCCCAACCCAGTTTGGCCCCATTTCTCCCCTCCCGACAGCATTCAACGACATCATCTAGCCGGATTTATGAAAACCGTAACATCGGACACCAGGAGCCCACACACCTTAAACTGACTCAACTAAAGTAAATATCGCCAAGAAACTCAGCTCTTACCCATGGTTCTCTTAAGGTGACTCTCTTCTTGGTTCCTGATTAGCAAAACAAACATTCAAGTCCATCAAAAAGACACTCTGGACTTGTCCATACACTCTAGCTGCTTAAAGGCCCTGAATGACGGAGGACGCTTGAGACTTCAGCAAGTTCTAAGCAGAGAATTCAAGGTTAAGTCACCCCCCTGACTTCCTCCACCCCCCCCAGCCTAGCACGTGCTTGAGGGGAATGCTTTCATTGGCCAATGGGCCTCAAACGTCACAAGAATTTCACATGACAAACTAAAGGCAGACGTGACCAGTGCACTGACTCTCCCAGACCAGGACTAACGGAAGGTACAACGCTTTTGCAGCAGCCTCCCCCCCCTAGGGATTGACGTGGAGGCCCCTTTCCAACCCATGGCGAGTTAGCTCAGGGACTGAACTTGACAATGAGACCAAGCAGGACAGCAAGCCCCCCCCTATGTTTTTTCTCAGCGCAGTGACCAGAAAGCTGGCTATGGCCAGCTTTCTGTGCGAATATTCTGGTGCATTTTTCAGGTAGGTTTTCAAAAATTCGGCTAGATGTTGACGACAAATGCTGTCTTTTCCAAGAAGGAGGTCACCTCGGGCCAAATCTGCCTCCTCCCAACCCAGTTTGGCCC